ATCTAATTAATGCATTCCTATGGGCAAAAAAAGTGAGAACAAAGTCAATTTTGGCTTACAAAGGGTTTATTAAGTGCTCTTTAAAGCCATACATATTGTGCAGATGATTTTAAAAATTTCAATCAAAAAGCTTTTAACTTTTTAAACATCATAGAAAAACATTTTAAAATCAGCGAACATGAGGCAGGAACAAAAAAACGGAAATCCTTCATCTTGCGAAGCACGGCCATAGGAACATTTGTCTTGCGAGTCATCAACCCCATTGCCGAAACCATTTGTCTTGCGAGTTTTTTAGTCCTGCGAGGCATTTGCCTTGTGAGGCACTACTGTATGTGACTAAAGGGACATCTAAGTCCACAAGGTCTGTTTTCTTTAATATTGAATGACAACTTTCAATCCAGCTGGGTCCAGAGCTGAAAATTTGCCTTTCCCCTCAGGCGCTCTTATCATACAGAATAGATGAGGCACACACACACAAAAAAATTTAAGCAAATAATTGAGGCTACAGAACATCAAACCGACCTTTCCAGCATACATAGTACTATAGCGAGGACCTATATCAAAAACGCTGTGGAACTGGCAAATTATTTAGCATTTCTGGAAGGAAAAGAGTTTAGAAGAGACTTCACCTTCGCAAGGTGCTCAACCCTGCCTTCCCCTGTACTTGAACAGAAGTAGAAGAATATCCATTTTGCTGAAATGCTTCGTAACCATCTTTTAATGGAGGTCGAGACTATAGAGCACATGTTCTTCACTTGCCTACGTTATGAGGTGGCACTCAAGGAGATCATCACCCAAATGACTAAAATAATAGTAAGAATTCCTGGCCATTCAGAAAAAAATAAACTTGAATTTCTTTTTTCTGATATAGACCCCAAGATAATTTACCAAGTAGCCAGCTTTTTTATGGTGATACTCAGGTCTCAGAAATTTTATGGTAACTAGTTACTAGATTCTAATCTTGTCTTTTAATGCCAAATGTTTTTTTACAAAATATCTGGGAATTTTGGAAATTTGTAAAGGTTTATCCCCCCCCCCATTGGTCTATGGACTGTAACAATAGACTGACTGACACAAAGCAGAATAGTTTCAATTTCTCCAGGAAATCCACCCCTTTTCTCATTAATTAGTGTTTACAGTCTCAATAACTCACTCCAACATATGAATAGGAGACACAATAAAAGGCTTCATTGCTTACAATTGAACAGCTCAAACAGCAAATTGACAAACATGACTGCTTTCAGCAAAAGACCTTAAGAGACTCACTGCTAGCAACAGACGAAAGGGGGAAAGAAGCAGAGCAGAGTGGTGGTGCTCTCTCTTCAATTCAGAGACAGGAGGAAGCTATTGTTTAGTGCTGGATAGATTGACAGTCACCTCAGCACACAAAAGTCCCTCCCAGCCACACCTTCTACAGGCATCATGCAATGTTGTAAAAACTCCAACAGAAGGAAGGCCAGGGCACAGAAGACAGATAGCAAAGACAGGTAGCAAAGAATTGCCTGGATGGTGTTAAGCAGGCAGAAGCTGAAAATGAGTTGAGGTCAGCAAGAAACAATAAAAGAAAAAGGAAAAAGCATTCTTCTGGTACATGCGTACCAAGACAGAGAAAAGTAATACAGTGGTGCCTCGCTTAACGGGCACTCCATTTGATGATGAATCGCTAGACGTCGATGTTTTTGCGAACGCAAAAGCGATTGCAAAACGATGTTCCCTATGGGGGAATTTCACTTTGCGATGATCGGTTTCCTGCTTCGGGAACTGATCATCGCAAAGCGATGATTTTCGGCCAGCTGATCAGCAGTTTTAAAATGGCCGCTGGGTAAACAAAATGGGCAAACGCACGGATTCCTCGCTGCACAGGCAGCAAAAATGGCCATGCTATGGAGGATCTTCGCTGGATGGTGAGTTTCAAGCCCCTAGGAACGCATTAATCGGGTTTAAATGCGTTTCTATGAGCTTTTTAAAATCTCATTACGATGTTTTCATTTTACAGCGATTTCGCTGAAACGAATTAACGTCATAATGCGAGGCACCACTGTAGTAGCTCATCTACTCAGTAGGAAAGGAAAACTGGTAACAGTTGACAAAGAAAAGACAGAAGCACTTTAGCTCAGTATTGTTGTGATTTGATGGACTTATAGACTCTTTCCAATTCCTTAATTCTATGAACAGTTTTTTCCTTTTACTTGTTTAGTTTGCATATGTGCCTAATTTTTATTATTGTTTCAATTTTTATTTTCTTTTATTGCATCTTAAGTACTGTTTACTGCCCAGGGAACATAATTCTATGATAAAGGTATAAGGTATTATTCCTGATGTAAATAAAGTTATAATTTGCAGTTTGAGAAGGTAACTGGAAAGCCAAGCTTTTCAGAACTTAAGTCTCGTAAGACTGTCATGTGTGTACTGATAAAATTCTAGCTTGTGTAAAATCTATTCTGAGACCATCCAGAACTGCTCTGGCAGTTTTATTTCCTACTCACAAGCCTCTGCCTCCCTTTCTCAGGTCAAGAGAGCAACAGATGCCTACCGGAAGGCGATAGCTCTCCGGGAACGCAACAAGTCGCTGAAGCTGTGGCGAAGACTACGTGGTGGAGAGATTGGACTGGAGTCAAGGAACCCCAGCTTCTACCAGACCTTTTCCACATATTCCTGGTCATGGAATGTCTGCCAGGAACTGGTGACACCTCGAGAACTCCGGGAATATGATAACAGACTATATCATCATCACGGCTCCCGAACACCTACCTTTGCAGACAAGCAGATCAGGGCAGGTGGAAGGGAGAAAGGAAATAAGTAGCTCCCACCCAAGGTGTTGCTGCCCACACTATGTCCTCCTTTCCATGTGAGGTTATTCCACAGAAAACTCTCGGGCTGGAATCCAAGCTCTTGTGACAAGAAATGTAGGGTTTCCCCTTTCTATGCTAGCTAATACAGTGAAAAATTAAGCTAGAAGAGATGAGTCTCTCTAGTCAGTCTTTGGCCTTCCCAATTTTTGACTATTCCTTCAACAGCGGTCTGGAGTGGGGGAAAGGAAAAGGGGGGAATTGCTCTGGAGATTCCAGAACGAATGTGTATGGAAACACCTACATTTTCTCAAATTTATCGGGCAGACTCCTGTTAATGTTGTAATTTCCACAGCACAGCTGAGCACCTGACAGAAATTCCTCACTTCCCACGAAACATCACCATAACTCCCAATAATGATTATTCCTGTGATGAAGAGCTCCCAAGATTCTCTGCCTTTCAGCATCCAACATGAGCTTTTTAGTGGAGACAAACTCATAAAGTTCGATGTACCTCATAGATAATCTAGAAAGCTTACTAGCTGCGAAATTCATTCATTCATTCATTCATTCATTCATTCATTCATTCATTCATTCACTTAGTTTCTACTCCACCTTTCTACCTGTAGAAGAACACAGGTGAAATCCATACTGCATAATTGCTGAGAAGTGGTTATGCTGTTTTTCATCAAAGGTGATTTAATCATAGATACTGATTAACTGGTGAGAAGTATTATCCACTATCACACTTCTGTTGTTTACGTAGATGGACAGTCTATAATTACTGTATTTTCCGTGTATAAGACTATACTTTTGTCTAAACTCTTTAGACTAAAAATTGAGGGTCGTCTCATACACAGATGCAAGCTAAGGAGCGAACAAAAACAAGTGGAAGGGAAAGCAGGAATCAAAGTGATCCTGCAGGACTTTCTGCTTTCCCCTCCACTTGCTAAACCACAGATTTCTTAATTTTGGATTAGAAAAGTGGGGGGGGGTCTTATACATGGGGGTGTTTATACACAGAAAAATATGGTAATTCTTCTGACAAATTTATGATGTAAGTCATTATTCTTTCCCTTCTGTAGATAAGAAACAATGTTATTCTTTCAAAATTGTCCATATAAGGATTTTGCACACAGGCATCTATGTAATCAATCCAATTTTGAACATATTTTAATAATAATAATTGTGTGCTGTCAAGGCAATTCTGACTTATGACAACCCTTTCAAGGTACAGAAATGGTTTCCCAATAACGTCTTCAGAGGGCACGGTGGAGAACTGAATTTCCAGCCTCGGTCTTCATTGTTATTACAGTAATTCCAGGAAAAATCAGCTTGTTTATTTCTACCTACATTACTTCTGCATTGTTTCTATGCTCCATAAGGACAAAATACTGTAAAAAGTAACACGTCAAAATGTGTAGACAATATTGCAGCTATGGAAAAACTGTAGGCATAAATGCTTTAAAAATGTAAGAAATATAAGAAAGCTAAACTTAAGTTACAGGCAAATAGTAATAATTCAGCTGAAAACACAGGAGCATAAAAAGTATAATAATAATACCAAAACAAACATTTTAGTGATATTCTAAAAATGCAACAGCTTTTAGCCTAAACTGGGACACTGAAAAAAAGCTGAGAATATGTCTCTTAAAATTCTTAAAAGTAAAAATATATAAAGTTAAAAGCATTTTTTAGCCTTTAAGCATAGTAATAACACAGAAAGAAAATGTTTCTAATCCTCACCCAGCCAAACCAGTTTGAATCTAAGGAGGAAAATTCATTTTCTCTTTGCTGCAACTGTTGTATCTACCACTACATGATAGTTGTTGCTATCCAATGTGTGCGGTGTGTTGTGTTGCATTATTTTTTGCAGCCTGATGGTGTGGACAGGCCCAGCCCCAGTTTCCTACATATCCTGCAAAATGTTTACCGTTCTGATGGATTCTTGAGCTGAAGAGATCATACTGGGAATTTAAATACTGTAATGGAGAAAAGAACCCTCCCCAAAAGCATCATCGAGAGGATGAAGTGAAAGAAACGTTGAAGACTTGTGTGAAATCCTCTGAAGTTTCTGTAACTGCAGCTCGCTCTCTCAAATACACACACGAGCACACATACACACAAAGACACAAACACACAAACACAAACTATCCATTCTCCTTGCAGCAACATCATATACTGAAAATGTTTCAGACAATTAAACTAGACTTTTTGAAGGTTGTTCCCCCCTGAGACATTAATTTTTCTGCTCCCCTGCCCCCCAAATATGTTTATAACTGGAATGTTCACATACAGTATTTTGCACCCACTTCCTTTCTCCTCTGGCTCTACAATAGAACTCCCAGCCTCTAGCTCCACAGCCAGATATGCAAACCACTGAGCTATCCAACCGGCTGACAACTGGCAGAAAAAAAGCAAGATCCAATATGAATTTTCTTCACTCCCCCTCATTTTAAAAGTTAAATATTTTTGTTTGCCCATTTTTTTCTTTTTCCATATTACCCATTTAAGGAAAGAACGGTGCTGGACAGGATATTATCTCCATGACACAAACTACAATCACACAGTTTATTGGTATTCCAATGTCTGTTTAATTCAACAGACCTTCCCTCCAAACACCTGATGCTTAAAAATGAGCTACTCTTGCTGACCAACTTTTCATGAGGACAATCGGCAACACCAGAGACTCTGTGTCAATGATAGGACATGCTGATGTTGTTCTTTTGACTTCTATACTGCCCTATAATGCTAGAGCACTATCTGGGCAGTTGACAACATGCTGGAAGTCACTCATCCATGAGGTTACTCTATATGTTGATGTTGTTCTTTTGACATATACTGCCCTATGATGCTAGCGCACACTCTGGGCAGTTGACAACATGTTGGAAGTCACTCATCCATGAGGTTACTCTAAGTCAGAGGCAACATGGTGGCTCCAAGTTTGAGACTGAAAACACTTTCTGGTTTCGGACTACAGCACCCAGCATCCCCTCAGGCACCATAGGCATGGGGACTCAATAAGCAGTGAGTTGCTTATTGAATGGGTCACTATAGACTGTTCTTCCAGTCCACTATAAGACCAACATTCTGTTGTTTTTAATAGACTCCGACTGATGGTTCTGTAATCACAGAGATGGATGGGTTCTTGCGGTTGGCATGGATACAGCTCAGGCCAAAGAGAAATAGAATTCTCTGATCTCAGAGTGAGGTAACAATCTGGAGAGTTCTTGTTTCTCTGCAAACTAAGTGACAGTTAACAGTCAGGCTCAGCCTTAACATGGTCAGGATGGATATTCATGACAAGGAAAGGGAAAGATTGGGTTGGGGGCAAGTTGAATTACTTTTTCAGACTCACTATGGTAAAGGAGATAGAATATTGGACTATGGCTCAGGAGACCTCGATTCCAATCCCTCCGTGCCCTTCAAAGTTTCTAGAGAGTGACAATGGTGAATCACTCTAGAGACAAATCCTAACAGGGTCGCCAGAAGCTGAAAATAACTCGCCAAAGGACAATAACATTGTCCTTTCAAAGGTGGGGAAAGCTATTAGAAGGATTTGTGAGAAGGTTTTCTGAGTGCTTTCCTACCCATTTTGTAAGGGAAATGGATGCTACGTATTGCAACTAACATGTCTGCTTCACAGAGCATGTTTTGCTCAGAACTTTTTTGAATAACAGCTCTCAGAAATAGTTTTGGAGCACAGCTCCCAGAAGCCTTGGCTCATGATGGCCATCCCACCTGGCACGTCTGGGAAATGGAAGAAAAAAGAGAAACTTTTCCAAGCTCTGCTTCTGACCATGAGACTCAGTAACCAGATGACCATGCCTATGGGGAGAGGTCAACATCTTCCTTTCTCGTCTGATTGCAAATAGATGGTCATAACGAGGGCCAGACATCAGGAGAAGGCAAGACCTTCTTGAAGAAGGAGAAATCAGACATCCAGGTGACCTTTAGTCCGCAATTTCTCTCCATCTTTTGCTGTAGAGCTTCAATGCATAAACACTAACAAATATTATTTTCCACATATTTGAAGGAGGAACAAGATGCTATGTACATATAACCATGGCCGACGAACAAGGACAATCGGTACTATCTGAGGCTGTGTGGAAGTTTGAACAGGCTGTAGATGGTGTGAAGAAGCCCACGCTGAGAGCCTAAGTAAGGAATGTGTTTTCTACAATTAACGTGCAGCTTTGCTAGTTTCGGAAAGGTGATGAGGGTGCAAGAACCGGGGTGTAGTGGACAGAATGAATTGGTAGAGAAACATTAAATTGTCGGAGAAAAAACCTCTCACAGTATCACTAGGATTGTTTGTGCAGTCTTCAAGCACCCTGTCCTAAAACCATTTCTGTTAATATTCAAGCCTATCTTCATTAGGGAGATGAGCTCTTCATCTCAGGGAACAGCAGTCGTTGGGGTGCTAATTTGATTCTCATGCTCTTCTTTGAATAGTTGAATATTTTGGTTGGGCTGTGAGTTCTCTTATGTTACTCATTTCTGAATGTTGCTGTATAGGAGAGGACATTCCCTGTCTCACACCCAAAAACAAACACAAATAATCCATTTCCATAATTTATTTGCATCTCTCCTCTTTTAAATCTTGTACAGATCTCCTCCAAACACCAGGTGCTTACCAACAATCCACAGATGATGTGAGGATGCCCACACTAAGAACCTCAGTAAGGAACCTCCTTTACACAAGTAAGGTGCCACCATGCTAGTTTCTGAAAGCGGAAAGGGGCAAGAACCAGGCGTAGCAGCCACAGTGAGAACTAGGACTTGAGAGACTTCCAATTCCAACTCCTGAGTGACCACAGAAACTGAGGGGTGGCCCTGGTAAAGCCCCTCCTTCAAAGCGAGAAAGAAGCCGTATAACTTTGACATGCGGACTCGCCACGCAGTGAGTTGCTTGGTGAATGTGTAGCCAAGA